TTTCTGAAGACCTTTCTCATCTCACGAGTATGACACGCACATGTGCATGCACTTGTCACACTTGTCAAAGGAGGGGGCTTTGTTGAAAACGACGTGTTTGAGAGAGGCGGGGCATAGAATAATGTACATTCCAACGATATCGTTCCTGTGTCATCATTATCGTTATAGTTGTGGTTTAAACTACACTATTATCATAGAATTAGAAGGGTTATTAATACTTCAAAGCCCAAATGTTTGACCAGTTTCTGACGTTGAACACAGAAAAAAATGTTCAAACAGGTTTCCCAGTAGTCCCGCCCCAAACTCATGGAATTGGCTGAGCCAGAAGTTGACACATCAAATTACTTAGAGTAACATCATAGCCCACTACAAACAGCTTACTTTTAGTTATTTCTACGCATTAAACTGAAATCAGATAAAAGAAAATTACCTACTTCGCTTATAAGAATGAGTAAGAACAAGAGGTCTTTATTCCTCCTTGTTTCTCGTTTACCTGATAAGCATTCAGGGTTGATTGTACAGTGTGCAACATGATGAAAAGGGGAAAAGCAGGTGACAAGATGTGTTGGAACTAAGAAAGGGGCTGCGTTGAGAGGTTTGGGGTTGTGGCAGGCGGTGTGTGTGAGAGACTCTCTGTGACCTAGGCGATTGTTGGCAGGTGGTGGGAAGCCTCACCCTCTGAATGCTAAGCAGCGCTGCCATTGTCTGAGGGGTGCAGCGCCAGTCGCATATGTTACCCGTCGCTCTGGCAACCACTCCCTCCAACACCCCAACCCCCCTCCGCCTTACACATGCTCTCGATGCAGCATCATCACCAAAGGCACGTCCCCAGAGTAGGAATCCCGTCCACTAGGACGATTTTCTCTGTTAGATGAAGCAATACAGTGACTCCTGAGCACAGGAAGGGGTCGTAATTGCGATTTATGCAATCATGAACACTCTACAACTGAAAAACACTGATATGCATCAAGTGATGTAATCATTGCTATGCAATATAAATGTAACCATGTGTGCACACAATAGTTCATTTGTACGGCCACATGTTTTTGCTGAGGTTTGTGGTCGATGTCGATCACCGCTGAACAGCCTGAGCTGATATAATACGATTTCCAATTACAAAGCAATAACAAATCATTGTGACAGTTATAAAACCTTTGTGATAGAGACTGTAGTCTGAAACTGATCGGAAAGTTCTGAACAGGGGAGGCCAAAAAAAATCAATGAAAAATAAAAAATTTGAAAAACACTCTACTTAAACAATCTGGACTTTCTACAGGGTAAGCAAACAAAGCCTATCAAAACCATCAGTTTAAAGAAAACCAGGTCCCAAATGTCTAAGCAAACAAGTGAAAATGCTTCTATTTAACTATTTCAATTTAATATATGTAATTAGGGCTGGGCATTAATTATTGGCAATATTACTGTGATATCTTTGACGAGGGGAGGGAATATCATGAATTTTGTGATAATGTTAAAAGTTTAACTTAGTTTTCTAAAGACAGTCAGCAAAGTTTACTTCTTTTTTGTCTAACAAGTATGACAATGCAGTTTGGCTGCTATCAAACGCACCTGTGCGTATTTGTGTGCGCACTCTGTGAAGGTTTCTATTTACAGCTTGTTTTTGAAGCGTTTAGCATTACAGCCAATCAAAAATATGTCTGTCGAGCACATGAACATAATGGCAAATTAGAGGTCTTTAAGTGAGTCAGAATCCGTTTAACAACGCTCTCAACATCAAGAGTTTTTGTTCAGTGTGGAAGTGTAAACAATGTAAAGTGATTTATTGCAAAAATATTGTGAGATATATTGAATTTTAAATAATATTTAATATATTTTTTTTCGAGTCAGTTTTGGAAGTAGGAAAGTGGGTCCTTGTTCAGTATGACGGAGAACTGTTCCCTGGCACCATCACGCAGGTATGAAGAAGTATTTGGTGCTATGGATGTGTTGCTGTTGATGAAAAATCCTTACATTTCCATGGAAAGGGTGCTCCTGATGGAGTGGGTGGTGCCTTGAAAAACCTGGCTGACCGAATTGTGTCCTATGGTACCAGCATACCAGATGCCGACACTCTTTTTGAGCAGCTAAATCTTAATTCATCAGTAAGGCTCTTTAAAATTACGGAGGAAGATGTCAAAACAAGTTCACAATTAATACCACCGGACCTGAAGACAGTACCTGGGACAATGTGTAACACTCCAAAGAGAAAGGTAAACTTGAAATCGCATCATATGACATTAATATTTTTTTTATTTCAGAGTGACAATTTGAGTCCAATTTAAAAAGAAAAACAATTCTGAGGTTTTTCTTAGTATTTAGCAATGACTCGACCTGAAATGTCAAAACTTGATGATTACATTTACATTTACATTTAGTCATTTATCCAAAGCGACTTACAAATGAGGACAATAAAAGCAGTCAAAACTAACAAAAGAGCAATTTAGATTACATTATCCAATGTGATTTTAGAGCATCCTGAGCTTTAATAGAAGCAAGAACAAGAACATCTGACATTTGTACAAAGAAGTTTGCATGGTTAATGGCAAAAGTTTATTTATTTCTACCTCTGCTTTATCTAATTGATTTGTTCTCTTTGATTTGTTGCATTTTCTAAAACATTATTCCCAGTTTTAAACTTGATTGTTGTCTCTCAGACTTTTGGACCCCACTGCAAGTCTTTACGATTAAATGATTAGGTCACATGAAAAAGAGCCAAAGTAGTCACTATGCCACATTAAGCTATTAAGGAAGAGCTTACATGTGCCAAATCAGTGCATGCACATCCATAGTTACAAAAATAATCAAACATATAGTGTGTATAAGTGTTGCAGATTTCCCTTTTGATTGAAATGTGAAACAAACTGGATGTCATCAGTGCTTTGAATGAGACGTTCAATTCACAGAAAATGATTATCAGAAAACGTCTGAGGAATATCAAATTAAGTTTCAGTTTCACTCAACTAAATACTGCAATATTTGACAGATACGCACAGATTCAGTAAAGACTTTCAAAATATGGACAAAAACAGCTGAAATATTCCTTAAAGGGGTCATTTGATGCGATTTCAATTTTTCCTTTCTCTTTGGAGTGTTACAAGCTCTTGGTGCATAAAGAAGATCTGTAAAGTTGCAAAGACTAAAGTCTCAAATCCAAAGAGATATTCTTTATAAAAGTTAAGAGTCAACCACGCCTACCTAAAACGGCTCGTTCTAACACGCCCCCACATATCTACCTCACTATGTGGGAAGATTTGCATAACGCCGCCCAAATGTTCACGCAAAGAAAGAAGGCATAACTTTTATTCTCACTGTAGTATTGTTGCCGCTGCCGCCATGCCGTGGAGACACTGTGTGCTTCGTTGTGAAAGCGAAACTACTTTGTTTGGTCTTCCAAAAGAGGACGATATCCGCTTCGTCATGCCTAGAGCTGATCTGTGCTGGTCGCTGAGGGAATACATCAACTTAGTGCTGTGGATCGCCGGATCGGCTTTCACCGTGGACGAAGCCATGTGGTTGCCGCTCCTTTTACACCAAATACACAAAATAATGTTCTTTTTAGCAGCATCATATGACCCCTTTAAAATATATTTGTGTTCGGGAGAAGACAGAAAGTCATACAGGTTTGTAATGATAGCAGGGTGAATAAATAATGACAGAATGTTCATTTTTGAGTGAACTATCCCTTTAAGTCTGTTTGAAAACCTTCATTATTTGTGCAGTTCTGTTTGGTGACACTAGTTGTGTAAAAACAACACAATTCACCTTTAAATCTTCCTCAGCAAATCATAGCTCAGACTTGGAGAACAACAGAAATTCTCAGAGAGCTCAAGAGGATGACCCAGATTTGCAGTACGCTGATTGCTCAATTACTTAGCTTGACTGTGTCTAAACAGCCTTTGCTTGACTGATTACTTAACATCACGTCAAATGAGGCTAAGATTCCTATCATACATTTAGCCTGACCCACACTAGCGAACAATGCTTTCATGTCACGTGATTTACTTTCAAAAGCAGACTAGAATGACATAGCGTCATATCTGTTGGTGTTTTCTATTCTGTTGTTGGAAGAAATGTCTCGATATATGACAGTAAATCAGCTTGAAATACGAGCAGTTTCTTGATTATTCCCAGATATTAAATAAAATATTAGTGTACTTACGACACTCTCAGTGTATGAATAATGTCTTTGCATAGGCTAGATAATCAGATTGGCATGTGTGAACAAATAACACTAGACTTTCTCTAAACTAACCTCTTTTCCATTTTTTTGTACCTAATTTTAACCAGCTTGTCCCAAAGTGATAGTAGCACATATATGAAGTCAATTCCCCTCAACAGGATAACCACAGATGTAGTTGTTTGCCCTTCGGACAGATAAACAAGATGAAAAAAATCCCATAAACCTACACTGAAAATGGATCACAGGGATCATATCTCCAGAAAATAATATTTTATAAACTTGCAGTTGGCTCAAGCCAACATGCAGCCATTCATAACACAAAAGCAACTTCCTATTCCTGCCCTAGCAACCAGCAACAACACCCTAGCAACTGTACAAATGCCATTCAAGTCACTTTTGACTTGTGAGATATAGCCTTAGAGCACATGTTCTTTAGAAAAAGCATTTGATCATAAACCGAGAAAATGCAGCAGGTAACTAATACAAACACGCACAGATTGGGAGTTATCTGAAACGGTAATGGACCCTGTGCACAAAGCTGGGATTGTCAAGTTCCATGAACAAAGCAAGTGCCAAGAGGACCAGCAAACAACAACAGACACAAAAGAAGTAAATCCCTTCCATATAATCGATGCACACCCCTGGCAACGGTTATATTATATTAATATGAAATAATGCAATCTTATATTAGTAATTTCATCATTATAATCAGGTAAACAAATAACAAGCCAGGTGATGTGATTACAAAGCGAAATGCCCATTCGTTTCCCATTGATCTGTGTTGTGGGACACAAGGGGCTTTGTTATTAGTGAAGGATACTGGGTAGGCGGCACGGCTGACGGCGGAGGAGCGCTCTGGGCTCCCGGTGGTAACGACACGGAGGTCAGCGCTGCGCGGAGTTGCGTTGGCGGTGCCGGTCCGGTTACATGTCCACTAACAGCGACAGCGGCCGGTTTCGGGACCACTTTCGGTGGCAAACTCATTGCAGAAATTTAAACCAAAACAAACAATACGCAGCTGAAAACGATCGCACGTTCCAACAATATCTGGCCGTTTCTTCTCTCTACGAAGGCCGGAACGTGTGTATATCCTTATGCCATGGATTTCATTCAAATCTGGCTCTTAGTACCAAAAATGTCATTTTATCTTTGAAGTCGGGGGTTGTAGCTGCTCTATGCATGGGGACGGTAAGGGGGTTTGTATCCCCCTCCAGCCACCCTGGATCTCCCCGGTTGAATTGTTCTTCTCCGCCTCCTCAGATGGCCGTCTCCGGGTTTGTTTACTCCGCTTTGCGTAGTAACATCACGTTAATGAGTCGCATTATAGGAATATCTCATAAAGATGGGAGACTTTGCTCAACATGGCGTTGTTGCTGCTGCTTCCAGCAGTCCGGCTGGACGGACGGCTCGGTAAACGTCGGGCGAGTTCGGAGATACTCGGGTTCACCTTACGCCACTTCGTAGTGATGGGAAGTCCGACACATTTCCAGGAATCGGTTCTTTCGAACAGTTAATTTCAAAGATGCGGTTCATAAAATGATTCAGTGGTTATTTAACGTCGTGACGTAATTGCGACCTCACGTCGTCCCTGACAAAGTTTGAGAGCTTAAAATTATTTATTTGATCTTTTATACCCGTTTGAACTCTTTAATTATGATTGTTATATAATAATAATATATTATTATATAAAATTATTATTGTTATATATGAACGGAAATGCATGTATAATGGTAATGTTTATGTAGTAAAAAAGATGCTCCAAAATTGAGCTAATTAAAACTAGTAATTTAGAACCGTAATACAAAATAAATATGCAACATGATTTGTTTGAAAAAAAAATAATAATAATAATTCGATTTATTCAGTCCAGCTCTGCTTCACTATGTGTGTTGATAAATCTGTAAAACAGTCAAATCATAAAAATATTTCCAGTACATTTTATTTGTAATTTCAGTTTATGATTCGGTGAGTTGACGACTCGAGAAACACTTGGAACGATTCAGTCCGGTTTTGTGAACCGGTTCATTGACAAGATCCAAAAAGAACGAATCTTTCGCGAATCGGACATCGCAATACGCCAGTGAAAGTGACGTCATAAAGGCAGTCGCAGTCGCCACATGCCTGCACTGTTTCACACAATGGCTTCTCCGTTACATTCCAAGCCATCAATCAGCATGAAACGAATGAGTCATAATACGCAGTATATTATCACTGAATATAAAACTGCAGTTTCACCTTTTAAAAGGGGTCCCGCCCAAATTTTGGTTGCAGGAGAACGACTACTTCAAATGTTACCTATCTTTGATAAAGGCTTATCGAGTTGATTAGATACGGGTGCCTATGTTGTGAAGTAGCATTTGTATATTGGGATTATATATGGTAGGGGCCTAATAATAAGAACATTAGCTTGCTTTTTAGCAGGCATTTCTGTTGCCATTAATAAATGTGAATGTGGCGACATCTGTCGGGGATAAAAATGCATAACAGTGGGTGCTCATTATTTGAAACCCTCTAGTCCAGGGGTGCCCAAACTCGGTCCTGGAGGGCCGGTGTCCTGCAGAGTTTAGCTCCAACTTGCCTCAACACACCTGCCGGGAATTTTCTAGCATGCCTAGTAAGAGCTTGATTATCTGGTTCAGGTGTGTTTGTTTAGGGTTGGAGCTAAACTCTGCAGGACACCGGCCCTCCAGGACCGAGTTTGGGCACCCATGCTCTAGTCCAGGGTTCCTCAAATCTTGCCCTGGAGGTCCAATGCGCTGCAGAGTTTAGCTCCAACCCTGATCAAACTCAGCTACCTGTGATTTTCTAATGATCCTGAAGACATTGATTAGCATGCTCAGGTGTGTTTGATTAGGGTTAGAGCTAAACTCTGCAGGAAAGTGGATCTCGTGGGCCAGATTTGAGGATCCCTGCTCTAGTCTATATCAACATAATATATATATATATATATATATATAAAAAGTTACAATTCGTTAGCACCAGCTAATGCATTTGCTAACATGAACTAACAATGAGAAATATAAATATTAACATCTGTGATGTGCTGAAAATCCTTTACCTAATTTAATGTTCCCGATCAAAAATTACCAGCCTTTTAAAAAAAGCTTGCAAATTTCTAATTATGCTGTATTATCACCAAAGCTTGAATTCATTCTTTTTGTCAACTTGTTTTCTTTCAATTAGCACAGGTTTTGTCATGCTTTTTGGAACTGATTTATTGTAGGCCTCAGTGATCTGAGCCTATGCACCTCAGTTTTAGAGTGAAATAAAAATATTTTCCCTGCAAGTACTTGCATAGTTTTAAAGGCACTTTCTTGAATAGTGGTCTAACGACAGCAAATCCAGTAGAAGTGTGCATACTGCTCACATATATATATTCTTCATTTGACATTAAATGACATTGTGAGATGGATAATAAAATCGAATTATTTTTCAAACAAACATGATGTGATGAAACAGTCTTGTATAAAACTTACCCATGTATCAAAATGTGAGCAAAGTTATTTAACAGTGTAAAGAATCTGCCAAGGAATTGCCAAACATTACAGACCAAAAACTAAAACTAAAAATCCCACCAACAACGTAATACAGAGAACATAAATATTATTTTCTAATAGAAAAATAAAAGCATTTTCTAAAAAGGCACATATTCAAATAAAATGTATTTGCAGAAAGGACAAGTCCTTCTCTCATTACATTTAACCACTAACTTCCAGTGTTTTGAATGTAAGAATAAAACTCCATTATATAGACTTCCATGGAGTCACTATTTACACCAATTCCCCATTAAGAGGCAAATAATAGCTGGAAAATGTGTAGTCACCACCAGCTTTTTGGCAGTCTAGATTAGGCAACCTGAGATGGATGTTTGTTTTTGAGCGATAACAGCTCCAGGTTCAGTCCCCCATGTAAGAGTATGGAGATAGAATTGTTGCTTAATTCCAAATAAATAGATTACGTTGCCTGGGTTGTGTACGTATATGTGGGGCAGAGCTATCAAAATAGGGGCAAGACCCTTTTGGGGTAGAGGCGTGTTTGTTTTGGTGATTTCAAATATCAACATTGGCTACCAGAAATCACTTACTCTGCCTTTAACAAAGATCTAAAGTATTATAATACACAATGTATCAAAAACTAAATTTCAATATTTTATGGCTAAAATAAAATAATTGATATTGTTTTTAGATCATTTAGATAATAATTTTAGATAGTTTGAATCATGAAAATGGATTTTATTTAAAATATGTATTTACTTAAAATATTTAAGTTAAAAGGTATTTGATCATTTTTGAGGTTTTCATTTTAGTTTTTGTTAATAAAACAGCTTTTTATTTTAATTTTTTTGTCTACCAGGTGAAAATTGTGAGTCCAAGTAATAATGTAGGCTAAGCACACCTTTCTTCAACAATCCACATCCAAGAAAAATGTTCAAATCAAAGTGTGAGAAACAGTAATATTAATTCTTGCCTTAGCAAACAGTTCAAAAACAGAGACAAAAGACAGATACCTTTAGTTTGCTAAGGTTGTGACCAGTAAAACAACTAAAAGTGAAAGTGCCGTGACGTATAGCCCATGCTCTGCACTTAACCCATCCAAGTGCACACACACAGCAGTGAGTAGTGAACAAACAGCCAGTTTTGCTCCAGCGCCCAGGGAGTAGTTGTGGAAAACATAGTGAGCAAATATTGGCACAAACCTGAGCAAATCCCACAAAAAACAGCTGACGATTGGTCATTCCAAGGGCAGGCAGAGTGGCTTCCTCACCATTCTTCTCGATCCAGTTTATATAGGCCTGCAAAGCAAGTGTGAATACATTAGTCTACTAAGAATTCTGCATGCTTCACTGCATGCTGAGATCACAAATAAACAGAGCCCTGGTGTCAACGGTTATTTTCCTCTCCATCAGAGAGGTTAACAAAGGGTCTTCTCCAGCCATATGCTTTGCGCATCTGCTCTGTAACCTATGACTTCTCAACCAACGGAAAGAATCCGAGTTGCTGGAGGTAGAGCAGCCCATTCCGAGCCACCTGTTGCACTGCGAGGCTTTTCAGAGAGATGGGACCCCGATGGCCCCAAAGCTATTAAAGCCACCAACGAGAAAAGTATAGAGATCGTAATGCCTTTCGTATCAGATTCTCATATGTCACAAGCCATAACTGTTTTCATGTTATGGAAAGTAACCATTGGCGTCTCATCTCTTTATAACTCGCTGATGAATGAAACAAATCTGTTGATGGATTTAAATTCTAGTTCCTGCAAAGTCTTGTTCCACAACAGGATCTTCACAAACCTTATAAGCTGCCCTCAGGCCTCCGTTGTCAGCAATATTTTCTCCCAAAGTGTGTTTCCCATTCAGAGGTTCTTTATTTATACTGTAGTTGCTGTACTGCTCCACCATACACTGGGTCTGCTGTTTAAAAGCCTCCACTGAAGAATTTTGCCACCACTGACGCAAATTCCCATCCTTATCATACTCTCTTCCTGTAAGACATATTTAAAACACCGTTTTGAAACACAAATATTTTGGAAATGGTCACATACACATTACAGTTTTCTGTAATAAAAGCTGATGTGTTTATTAACATCTTCACATTATTACAATCATAAAGGACAATACAATTATTTACATTATACTGTACATTAGAAAAAATATTATTAAATGTATATATCAATGCTAATTCATATGTTATATTATTTTTTGCATTTATTTATTTTGTCATTTATGTAGTGTAATATTTAATGAAATGTAATAACTAATATAAACAACATGTTTAAAGTATGACAAAAAAAGTTTTTTTTCAACAGCATACATACACACGTATTTGAACAACCTCTGACTCTGATCTTTGACTTGGAAGTACTTTTCCTAGTACATTTTTACTATTTATAACATATACAAGAAATCAAAGGACAATTTGTATTAATCAAATAAGACTGATAGACTGAGGTTATAAAAACTGATTAACGGAAAAACACGTGATTTGATATTTATTTTTTATTTAAATATTTTTAAGAATAATTCAATAATGTCTGAGATGTATTCCCTATTACCATAGTAACCAGTCAGGTATATAGTTATTCCTGTGTTTGTGTAACTCTCTAATAATGAATCAGTGGCAGGGTGGCGCACTTGATTCTTTACAGCAGTTGACGAATCTTATGTACTGGAGATCTAACAATCTGAAATAATATACAGTAATATTTTAGAGAGAATAATTTTGTTACCTTGATCATCAAAGGCATGGGTGAGCTCATGCCCCATAACCACACCTATACCACCGAAATTCATTGCTCTAGAAAACAACCAAGACTCAATAAGATGAGGTAAGAGATATAACACTACTATAGGACTACAGGAAAGGTTTTGTTAGTGAGAGACTCTTACTTTGGCCAAGCATGGTTATAAAAGGGAGCCTGGAGAATGCCTGCTGGAAGTACCATCTCATTCTTTGTGGGGT